ATACTGTCCGAAACGTTGAGTTCCTCACGGTTCTTTTCAGAACCATACAGACTCACAAAAGAGATTGTATCCTTGCATGGTGCTACCACAAGCTTTCCACCTTCATTGTCTATCACCATGAATAGCTTGAAATCCCAAGAGTAAGCTTGTGAATTTCTGCACAAGCTCTCAGGCAATGGAGCACTGAGTATACACTGCTTTATACATGTCAGTGTAAGAGCAAAAAACCTGGTATTAAAACAACCCACTTTAATTTTTTGGGGGTGGGTGAGGGACAGAGCATGCGCAGTTTGCCTTGTTGCCTAACTACATAAAATATGTAGTGGTTGCTTCTTTCCACAGTTACCTTAAAACAAAAGTCTTGACTGGCGTAGAGATCCTTATCGAAAATCAACAGATTAGACACTGGGCGTGGGTTTATCATTCTTGAATCACCTTCTACATAGTAAAGTTTTTCCAACTCAACAGGTCTGATTTCAGGTAAAACAAGCATAAATTTCTTTCCTAATTGGACTGAGAGTTCCAAAGGGTCAGGTTATTATACCTCTAAATCCACCTTGGGAAGGAAAGCCATCACAGATGGGTTTTTGGCAATTCTTTTGGCCACTCTGTCCAGACGGTTGGTTGAACTTGTGGGTCCAGCCCCGTCCACTTCCACTAAACCTTCCTCATCTTCTCCTTGGAGTGAAGTAGCAGCTAGAAAACAAATGGGCAAAGTAAATCTTCATAGTCTAACTGGCTGAAGTTATTTTTCTTTCATTGATATTGACAAGGCCAGAGAATGCATCCCCAAACTTGGGAATTTCTTTGAATTTTTGGAAGTTTCAGAGCCCAAGTTCAAAAAGAATGCAAGTGAACTAGCTTTTACATATAAATGCCAAACACTAACCTGCAAAGAAAGAGGCTTTTATATTTATATTCTTCAAAGCAACTTGTTGACATTTTGGCCTTACCTTCTGTCCACTGTTCTCCTTTACTCACGACCATGAGGACAGTGTTGTCAGACAAAGTTTGAAAATAGTTGTCATCTTCAACTCTTGTGCAGTCCTCCTCAAGAACAATTTCAAATTCATTGCCAGCTGCACGAAAGCCAGTCCGGATCTTTGCCCTCAGGTCTTGCAGTGAGGCGGCAACGATGCCAACTTGACGAGTCCTCCTAACATTACAGACTTTTAACGGCTTGGCTTGGGACGTTCCTGGTTTGCGCTCCACACCCGGTTTGTCACGTCCCACTTTTGGTCCATATTTCTTCTTCTTTGACAATGTACTCGGGGCATCATGACTTGACCCAGATGACTTCCTCTTAAGCTTTCCCCTTTTAGATCCAGATGTTGATGGTTTGGGCTCCACAACCAACTTGACATGATCCACTTCATGTCCAGCTTTCTTCTTCTTTGACGGGGTACCTGGGGTATGATAGCTTGGCTTGGATGACTTCCTTTTACGCTTTCCTCGCATCATGAGTGTTCACTTTCTCAATTGGACTTACATGTACTGAACCCTAACAGTCCTAAATCCTTCAATTTCAATACATACACCCTTGGGGGTTAGGGTTAAAGGAGGGGGCAAAGATGAAGTCACTGCTGTAACTACATCTAGAAGACACCATCCATCATATCTAGTCTGTGTTATAGTACAGTGCAGCAACAGTAGTGGGTATCCTCGGTCAATCGAATTGCATCACGTCAGATATTCCTGTATCAAAACTGACTTTTCTTCTTCCACAGCTGTGAAGTAGAGAGGAACAGCAGATGAATGCAAGAGGTACTACATTATTTGTCTGCTATCCTAACGTACCAGGATCGAGTCCCCTTTGGGACATTTTGCACTTTTTTTTCTTTATTTTCTCAATTTGATCGAACGTTTACTTCCCTATACAAGGTTTCCTTCTTTTGGTAAATTCATACATCGCCCCATCACCATTGCCTCATCCCCACTTAGCTCGTCTGTGCATTACATTCAAGATGATTGAAATGTCAAGCTTTACTCACTTTATGTTGCCCTGGTTAGAGAGTGGGTAATTTGTCAGCTTTGTTCATTAATTTGGGGCATTGCTGATTTTGTTGGTATGTCCATTATGAGTATGAAGCTTTCTTTTATCTATACGTGTATAACTTAGTACAATGTGGTCATACTGCTAGTCAGTTGTACGTCAACTTCCCTGTGTTGTGCGTATTGTGATTGGCCAAGGCGTTGCAAACTCTTACATGCACACTGTTGTGAATCACCGGTATTAATATTTGTAAATTTCAAAAATGCATAACTTGCTGACGCTAGCTATAAAAAAAATTACCATGACAAATGATGACCCAAACTGGCCTACTGCCTCCATGTATGATTGATGTACATGATGTAGGCTCAGTCTGTCAGTAGGATGATGTACATCGTATTTGTTTGACACAAAAAAGCTCACACTCATAAAGCCTTATTGCTGATACTTCATGGGTCATTTTGCACAATGGTAGAAAGGCATCGTGGGAGGGAAAAGGGGGCAATGTTTGCTCCTTTTTCCTTCCCAAATTCAAATTCAACATTTATTTCCTTACTTTCATTAAAATACCAAACAAGAATACAAATAAAAAAAATAGGAGCCATAAATACAATGTAATATAATAAGAGAAAATACAGGAAACTTGAAAAGATATAAAGTATGGAGCTGTTCATATAAGCAAAGGCTTGAAGAGAACAGCCTAAAGACAGACAATTGGATGAAGGACAAAAACACTGAAAACAAACAAGAAAAAAGGCGACAAACAGTGAAGACTAGACTGAACATCCAAAACAGAAGTAAAGAGTTGAAGACCGTGAAAATGAGCAGTAAACAAAATCACTCATGCAATATCGATGCTAACTTCCCGAACGGTAAGGAACTGAACAGCCCCACAAATAGGCTTACAGTGTAGTGGCTCAGTTTACAATCTGTCTCTTTTCTGTCGCCACCACAAAAAAGAGAGAGATTTTAAAAGACAGCCACTAGGCCCACAGCCACTAGGCCCACAGCCCTAGGCCTAGTATTTGCAGGGCTAAGTACTGAACCACGGTGTACTCTAGCCCAGGTGGACTCCCTGACCTGCTGACCGTACTACGTTACGGAGGGAGCTGGCCGGAGACAACGTCCAACCTGGGCTAGGCTACTAGGTGTACTCCGTCGTCTAAGCTACGGAGCTCCTTGGCCTAGAAGTACTAGTACCCCGTTCGGGAAGTACAGCAGTGAGGGCCTTTTCCTCACATTATACCCTTCCAAACGGATTCAGTGGAATGTTGAGGTTCTTATGATGGTGGTAAAGTTTACTTACATTCGGGAAAAAAGATAAATTTCCCCTCAAAATGGGAAACACACTCGTCGTTTACATCCTGCTTCAATCGCCACAACGACCGTGTACGAGCAAGTGCGTTGCATATTGGTGCGCGCTAACACCGCGCCCTTAGCTTGCGCGCGCCAGCTGCTGCTGTCCGGCCCCCCCGACTTGAATCAAATGGCTAGCCATTGTGTACTCGCTAAGGCATTCTGGGAAAAAGGTGAAGTCACCGCCACGTTCCATCATGTACATGTACGTCATTGCACGAACAGTCCATCCGTGACGTCATTATAGTCGAGCAGCCTCCAGAGCTAGAGCTAGACGTAGAGCCGCTCGCCAGTCGGGGTAGTAGTGGCTGACACCAGGGCAGGCACGAGAATCACGTGATGGCTAAACAAACGCTCTCGTGTAAGTTTGACTTACGAGTGTAAGCTAATCGAACGCACGCTAAAAGTGCGACTCACATGTCAAAAGCTGTTCCTTCTTCCAAATATGATTTACCATCGATCTCCGACAATTCACGGCTGTTCACACCTCAACCATTATATTCTTTTCAAATTTATCCATTCCAGATGCAGAATTAAGTTTTTCTTCGAAATCTGACGACTGAAGTACAATGACCTCAACCAGTTTTTGAAAAAGTCCGTTCAAGTTGAAAAGTGCACGCAACAAAATTCGCAACGCTCGGTGTTTTTTTATTTATACCGACAGGCATGAGGATAAGTGTCTGTTCTGTTGAAGTGCTGTCGACACCCTTAGCGAATGTGACGCACCTCGCTATCAACTTTCCTCCTGCGAGGATGATAAAAAATATTGTCTTGAGGGCGTTTGTTCGGATTCTTGGACTTCGACTGTGCTTTTCTGGGAAATAGTGTGGTTGTTCTTTCCCGGACCATCGTGCTTTATCAAGGCAAAGACGGCTCTCCCATTCAGACTTTCTTAGTATCCTCAATGATCCACATCTGTGATCATTATCGGCAGCGCCGACCTGCAATAACCGGGATGTTTACGCCTTATGCAAGGAATTTTGGAAGGCAAGTTTCCCCTGCAGGTTCATTGGGTTCCTGTCCGTGGTTTCCACTGCAGTCAGACATCCGTGTTTAAGGTCACCCTCGCTTAGTTTGGATCGCTGCGCGCTTGTCGTCTTCCCCTTCAAGAAACGTCTTCCCCTGCGTCAGAGATCGGCCCGAGTCGCCGTTTACTTTTGCTGTTGGCTCTGGCAATTCTCATCTCGGCCCAGTCCTCTTCTCCGAGTCGCGACCCCTTACTTCAATTACAACTTCTTGCCTCCAACGGCAGAGCTCCAGCTGGGTTTCGAGTACATGTTCTTCATCCTCGGCTTCAACTTTGTCTGCTTAATCCTCATCCTGCTCTCGTACCTGGCCATCTTTATCACTGTGAAGCGCTCGGCGTACAAAATGAAGAAATCCAAGGCAGCAGCCGATGTGAAACTGCCGTGAAGATGGCGCTCATCGTCGGCACAGATGATGAGCTGGATGCGTATCATCATCATGTCTGTGCTGGCTTCAGCGGGAGGCGTTTTCATTCCGTCTGACGCCTACGGGTGGACTGCTGTATTCATTCTACCGTTAAACTCCTCTATTAACCCATACCTTTGCACGATTTCAACTTACCAGTAGCCTGGCAAACATAGTAGTTCATTCATTTCAATGTGATTTCACTTGCATAATAAAGAGGGCTTGGAATCTTCTTCGTGTCATTGTGTGATGATGGATAATGCTATTTGCACTTATTGAAATTCGTGCGTGCATGCGTGCAGGAGATTGTGTCACGTGTCATATTGTTCCAAATGGCGTCAGGAAGATGACTTTTTTATGACACAGACGACGCTCACTTGCACTTCCAAGCAACGCCGTCAAAAGTTATCGAACATATCAGAATTACAGTCTCAATCAAAAAAGAAAATGAAACTAGGATTATCAATGTTTTTTTGAAGTGTTGAATAAATTCCTGGCCTTGTTGCTTGCAAATAATGTAATTATTTCTACCAAATACAAATTAAAAGTTTTGTGCGTATTATGACGTCATAAATGGCGCAGACCCTTACAGCGTATGAAGTGGTGTTTGTTTTGATGTCAACAAAGGGTTTAGTTTTTGTTTCAGATTTTCTGAAACAACGTTGTTACGAATGCTTCATTAAGCTTGGTAGTTAAACACAGCCACACAGAAATTCCGAGATAACCGACCTACTTAAGAGCGATTTATCGACATCCTCAAAAGTAAGTTTTTTTTAAACTGCGTTCATCATCTCTTTTCTTTGACACACATATACCTCTACTAAATGTATGCATTACATTATTAACGATGCCAAGCTAAACACAAACAATGTGAATTTCATTTTGGGAAGAATTAACAATAGTTCGATTAAAAATCACATTTTAACGGTCACACACGGAAATGTAAAATTGATTGCAGATCATGGTGGCGCAACCAGCGCAGCTTGTTCTCTATAATGAAGGAGGGGCTGACATCCCAAGTTCTCGTTTGAATCAAGGTAAACGAATCAGTTGGCAAGAGTAAAACAATTTGTCCTTTTCTTAACAAAGCAAATCGAACTTGTGTGGGCATCACACCTGTTCAGTGCGTTTTGGTTTCTCTTCGCTTTATGTTTTTGATCTGCAACCTCTATTCTGTTGTTCATAGAACCTATAACTCCTGTTGTCCACATTCGGACAGAAGAGGATTCACCAATCCAATTGACTGTCAGTCAAGGGCCGACGACAGCGCCTCCATCCCGCCACTTGCCAATCATCGGTCCGCCAAGTCCAAGAAAATTGACAGGTAACAATCGACAGCATTGTTCGATTCAACCTGTTCAATGATAAAGCGAGTCCCCGCTTTATAGTTTGGTGTGCAATCTAAGTTGAGAGTGTGCTAATAAGCCTTTTCGACTTGCGGTAATAATGCTCACTTTTCAATATTTGACGCTTGGATTTTCCTGCTATTTCTATTTTAGGAAAATATCGGCAGATTCCTTCAATTAAGGTTTCGCCACTTAGACACAGAAACACAACTATGCTTTCACGAAAACCCCTTAACAACCTAGTCTGGGGAGAAATCCTACCCGACAAGCCCAGGCTTCAGCAGTTCAAACCACCGAGCGAGAAGGACCAACAGACAGGAAAGCTGACTAGAATCCCCGTCCAAAACCTGAAAGAGGAACACGCCGACTTTACGCCAGAAGACTTAGCCGACCTTTCCATCGAGGCAATTCTGGCCATCACTGGAATATCTTTGGGTGATGAGAAACCCACTCAGAGCGCCACCAAGGAAGAGTCAGACGGGTGCTTTGTTGTCCGGCAGGTAGTTGTCTGGGCTGATGACAGTGGTGGCAGACAAAGAGAAAAAGACTCTCCAGTGGCCGACAGCTGCTTATTGTCTGTCACCAAAGAAACCAATCCATCAAAAGACCTTCCACACGACCACAAAGATGATGGTAAAGTTCTAGACCTCATCGAAGACTCATTATTTGGAGACGAATTAGACGAGGAAGGGGAAGACTCCACCGATCGCAGTCCCTTAGAGGACCCACCGATCACTGCTACAAACCAGCCTCGTTTCCCACCTCGACTGCCTCCGCTGCGCCCTAAGTGTGACTTAGAGCCGAACAAATCTTACGGAAAGAAAATGACCAAGAGAAGTAAACAGAAGCAAAGGCAGAATGGTGATCATGGCCTGTTGAAGGGACCATTTTTGAAAGAATCTGATTCCAAATTCGAGTCAGAGGAGTCCAGGTTGAACAGCAAAGGGTATAATTGTCAACTTTCTAGCAACAATAATGGCAGCACTGAAGACCTGCATCGTAATAGAGCCGGATGCACAGAAGTCCCAAAGCCCTCTCAAGGCTCTCTTGATAGCATCTTGCAGATGATGATGACCAACCTAGTGCCTGACGATTATACAACTGAGGCAACAGTGGCCAAGGCAGCAAATTCTTTCTCGGTCCCACCTGTGTCTGCTCCCGCAGTTAAAGTTGCCCAACACGCCACGCCTACTGTGAGCATTCCACTTGGATTTGGGATCGACAAACTTCAAGACGAATCAAAGATTACTTTGACAGGCCCCCAAGATTTCGAAGCAGGTGTAACAAACTGTCCTGCTGATTTGACCATGATAGAAACATCTTATCCACCAACTGGATTCTTCTTGAAAGTTAGGCCATCAAAGGTGTCGACAGTCCCACCTCCTCCTGGTTTCTTAAGACAAAATGTCCAGAGTGGAAGCACTCAGAGTGAGGAGAGCAATGTTGAGCAAACTAACGGTGTTGATGAGAAATGTCAGGATGGCACAGCGGTGTCTCAGAATCACCATAGCAGTGAAGACTGGTACTATAAGGTGCCGTGGCCAGCAGACTGGAAAGAGAAGAATCGTGATGCGTCTCACTTACCAGCAGGGCTCCGGAAAGCACTCCACATTGACCTTAGCTGGTTGCAGCAGGATGGTGATGACAAACCGAAACTTAAGCCAGGGGGTTCAAATATGAACACCGATGACACCAAAGCAATCAAAGGAAAAATGGCAGACAAAGTCCAACAAATGAGAAATGGTAACAACAATCACATTTTAAGCAACACAGAGGCATCAAAAGATACACAATGTAAGAGGAAGCCTACTTGGCCTAATTCCTCAGGAACTGATCTCAGAAATCTTACAAGTATCAGTAGTTCTCCAACAGATCTTGGAAGGACAACGTTCTTGAGTATAGGATCCTCTGATAACCCTTGCTCAGAAAACCGAAATCAAGGATCATGTTACATCAGCAATCTGTCAATAAGTACAAGAAGTGACTCTTTGTTGTCGCAGTCATCACTTACTAGCTGGGGATTGGACGTCGATGAACTCATCCTACTCTTGTCTGATGACGACAGTGAGTGCACCTCTGACGACTTCTTGTCAGATGATGTCACATTCGTTTGTGAAAACTACGGCACCGTCGATCACTCTCAACATCACCCCAAGTCTCTTCAAAGTCCGCTCCTCTCACCGGACATTGTGTCTCCGTTCTGCTTAACTCTTGCAAATGGTGAACACGACGTTTTTGATCTTCGCCAGGATAGCAACAACAGGCGGTATGACCCAAGACGTTACATTGAAGAGGATATTTTTCTCAAACCGCCGACAGAATCTCGAGATAGTCTTGACAGATATCTCTCCGAAGGGACGTGGACAGATCATGAACTAGAATATATCTTCAAGGCTTCCGTCGTTAAGAAAACAAAATTTCAACTTAATCATTCCAGAAACGCGGAAATAACGATTACTGGTGGAATTGCTGAGAAAAGAGTGCCCGATAATGTAACTTACCGTATCTCAGTCAGGTCGACAGAAATTGATGACGCTCAACTTCTTGTAGAAGACAAGAACCCGAACCCTCGCCTAGATATTGCTGCAACCGATGATACACATTCATTAGAAGTCCAGTCACAACAACGGACGGATAACTCATCCTTGCAACCCGCACTCGACGTCGAGAAGTGGATGAGGTTTCACGATGCTCAGATGGAGCAAGCAATAAGGATGGAGAGGCTCGCTGGAGGGCGCTCTGTATCTGCCCCTCAACTTGTGACCTCCGACAATTCTTATGATCGAGTTATAGACTGGGTTCGAACCTCTGATTTTTCTCTCGCGCCTTCCAGAGGAAAGGATGAGTGGGGCTAAAATTTCCTTTACTAACTTTGGGGTTTTCTTTGTGACAATGACTGTACCTAACATATTCTCCAAGTCATTTCCTGAAAGTCTTCAAAATGAAAGAACAGATTCGGTGACCAATCTGCTGTGTTACTCAAGGGAGATCATTGGAACCAAGAAAACGGTTTAAATTTATTTTAAACATATTAATTGTATTTTTTATTCAAATGCAGTTGTCTAGTCACACCAGTGAAAAGCGAATATGTGTGGCCTTTTCACTTCGATTGTACAGAAATCCAATTATGTTAACTCAAGAGAAACACCATCTATCAAATTGCACTGATCTACGTGCATGTTAAACCCGCTAAGAGAAAGCCTAAAACTAGGAGAGAAATTGCAAATTCATGTTATATACCATACAGCTTTAATATAATTACTTTTTATTAAGAAATACAAATGTTTGGGTTTCTGAAAAAAAATGACATCGATCTTTCTGTGACTTCTAAATTCTGTTGTAATTTCTGCCAACCGTTGGACTTTTTTCCTACTGATTGTAAGTGGTATCTTTCACTGGATTGTGAACTTATCAATTTATATGTTATGTAGCTTTGTATGGGTATAGTACCGTCAGTCACCCTATGGGGTAAAGGAGTAGTCTTCACATTCGAAAGTTATTAAAATGATCAAAACGTTTTCCAGGTTTATAGCCATTTCAAAGCCAATTTTCTTGAGATCAAAGCATTTTCTTCACGTTGACGAAAGTGTAAACGGTGTTGTTTCGTTTGGAATTATATTAAAATACTTGACTTCCATCTGACGCCTACTCTCCTTGGTTTTAATCTTGTATTTAAATAATTTATTTTCTATCCATCCACTAAAGCTTCTGAAGGATGAAATTTCCATGATGAAGATGCAATTCGATATTTGTCATTCTCCGTGCGTTTGATCGGCCGTAGTGAAGGCCAGATAATGCCTTCAGTAAACTAGCGACGTTCAATTTTGCCATGGATATTCCGTATTTGTCATAATTGAATGCAGCATCTTTTCTGATATAAATAATTCAAAAGTAGGATTTCTGACCTGGCCTTTGAAAAAATAGGCATATCTCTATTGTAATAAAAAAAAATAAAGAAAACTCGGATAGGAAGGTGTTTTACCGATTTTTCTCCCGAAACTGAGAAATTCTAGGTAAATTAGTTTTCCAAAACTTCTGTGCTCTTTCTGCATTTATTTTCACTAGCATGATCTCCAAATTTGTCAATTTTTGTTTTGAAAAAACATGCAAAAAAGCTGCAACTTCAAAAGATATCATTTGTCCCACAAAATTCAAGGCATTCGAATTCACCACAGAGTTTTGTTTATTCACTCAAAAATGAAGACAAAAAGACTTCTATGCATTTTCAATAAGCCATACAACGGGAAGATAAAAATCGATTTCAGAAACTACAATTCAAAAATTTTATATTGTGTTAACTTTTCTAAAGGAAAACACCAATTTGTTGATTATTAGAGTAAGAGAACTTAACATAATATACACAAACAAACATATTTGGGCCTGACATTCTAGCTGCAGTAAACAGGTACTGTAAGTACTCGTGATGAATCATAAAATTGAAACCAAAATATACATATACATCTCTTCTTTTTAATTTTCCAATTAAGGAGGCACAGAGTAATCCTTTCTTAATATAACTATTATATTGTACAATGGAAATAAACAATTTCTTGGGCAATCTTGTGAGACAATGATTAAGCAAAACGTTACTGAAATACTTCCAGCATAACTTCATAAACTTGATGACCATTATGTTGCAACAATGCGCATTTTAATCCTAACAGTCGTCTATCCTCAATTTTCAATATGATTCCACATACATCCTCGGGGGGTGGAATAGATGGCGCTATGTAGAATAATGATCAGGAATACATGATAGCTGGTGTAATATCATCAATTCACTTTCTGCCTGATATTAACATCTCAGTACAACATCAAAGATAAATAATTATTAGTAAGAATTTGCCAGAAGTATCACCTTGCAATGTCAATCGAATTAATCACAAGAAATTACCAATAAAATAATTCACTTTTTAAATAACAAATGCTTTACAAATTATTTAGAATTCCTTTGAACTATGGCAACAGAAACATAAGCACTGGCTTTGACAACTGCAAAATGTAAAAGATACATTGGAAAATGTCTCAGACTTACAATGTGCCCCTTTCTCTGATCAAGAAAACAAAAACACACAAGTCTACATATAACATTAGCTAATTTATGAAATTGCCATTACTTTTTGGCATTATTGCAATTTTATTAGTGTTAGTCAAACCACACGTCCATGAACTTAATCTTTCAAAAAACAAAAACACCAGAAGACAGACTTGTAAAACTGGCGACTAACACAGGAATAATGCATTTACTGCTACAAAATGCTTAGCTGTAAAATCTTGTAGTTTATCACCAAATGGAAAAGAAAAAGATAAAAAGGCTCAGTTCAGACACCACTGGAAGTCAAACATTTTTCTATTAGGAGAGTCACCAAATGTTGAACACTATTGAGAATCTGTGCAAATCTTCACAATTTGTCATGACAACTGCCAAACTTGGACATATAGTACAGCAGATTTTCAAGCTCCATGACTATTCCATGTTTGACATTATTTCAGATTTTTCGGATTAGGTAATGAAACAGCTGAGTGAGAGGAAGGGAGGGATCATCACACTCTTTACCCTTGATAGTGAATCGGTAGTAACCTGGTCCACGCAGGGGTAGAACGTAGGTGACACTTTGTCCCTCAAACTCTGGGCTGACCTCAGACGTGGCATTGTGTGGATCTCGCTGACCGTAGTATATCAGTTCATGGGCAGCTATCATACTACTGGACAATCCCATGACGATTTGGATGCTGTGGTCAGATGTGACCACAAATGGGTCTGGGTGGGTAAAGGCTGACATCCCCAGGGAGGTACAGGCTTCGGTGGGACCCCAATGCTCACCTCTACTCAATAATGGAATAGCCATGACCTGCTTGACAGTGGTGCAGACTAATAGATAGCTGCATACGTGGACGGGGGTGGGCATGCCTGGGTATTGTGCAAGGATGTGCAGCCCATACCGGCTAACTTTCGGTGGAGTGACCAACAACACTAGTTCTTCGCCGACTACTCTCTGCATGCTGTACACCACTAAATCCTCCGGTTTCCAACCCCAGGATGTCAGGGTGTGAGTGAAGCTTAGTTCATTCCTCATCAACCTGAAGCGGACCTCAATGTCCGAGGCATCGTGGGTCATCACCACGGCTGTGCGGTGGGTCAGAGGCGTCAAACCAACATTCATGACCCCAATGGGACCCCAATGATCAGCAGGAGAGCTTGGAAGTGGAACCTGGTCTCCACAGGGGGCGCTATTGTGAACCAAGTAACGACAGATTTCTGTCTCAGTCTCCAGATTTATTTCTCCGTCGAGATACTGACGTTTGGCATACAGAGTAAGGTAAAAGTCACCTAGAAAACAAACAAAAAGAAGGATTCACCTAACCGAGTCGAGCATTTAAATGTCTTTGGTATACAAACAAGGATACAAGGTAACATGTCAAATGAACAACATTAAGGCTCAGCCAAGACAAACTGAAAAGGTAAATTATACCAACTTTGCAAGTAGAAACTAACCTGGGTCAGGGATACGGATGTAGCACGCCATGGCATTTTCTGCTACCTGATGAATGAAGTCAAACTGGTCGTAGGGGACCCCGGCTCTGCTGAACTCTCTTCTTCCCTGCAAAGTGGCCAGGCGGGTGGACAGGATCAACCCCAGAGGGCACTGGACTCGGATATCCAACTCGCCATTCGGACAACCTATCACCTGGGTAAATTACCAATACAACAAATGCATCTTAGACCCTATCTGACGCAGGCCTCAAGAACTTCAGTTATATGTCTATTATCAGAGAGTCCTATGTATCTACAATCGCCAAAGACTTGGATCTAGACCTAGCTCTAGCTGCAAGATTTAAACATAGTCTGAATCTGTCTTCATGTCTTCAAGGTACACTTCAATCCCAGGTCTTGACACTGGGATTCCAATGTCCCAAGCTTACTCTGGAGTATCTATGACCAAGACCATATCCAAAACTAGCTTCCAGAGCTACGGCTACGTCTACTGTCAGTATGTCTCCAATATTGTGAAGACCTTGACCTAGACAACAGACTCAGATGCAACCAACAACTAGAACTACTGCCTAAAGTTCAACTTGTCAAAAGATGACTTACAGCTGACGTGTGGCTGAGAAGTACAAAGCCAAACTTAAAGAAGTCGGGCTTCAGCGGGACGGAAGCGTTGAAATCCTGCAAAGAGAGGGGCTGGTTGAGTAACTGCCAAGCAGGATCGTTGGGGAAATGACTCCGGATGATCACATCTGGGTCAGCCAGGAAGTAGTGCTCGTCGTATTCGAAGCGAAAGGGGTCAAACGCCACGGAGCCCTGGATGTGTGACACACCCCAGTTACAGTCGACGAAATGCCAGTAGCCGTCGATACGGACGGCGTTCCAAGTATGCTGGTAGGTAGGGTCATTAGAGGTGATGTATTGACCGGGGTTGTAGGCTTTGTTTTTGGCACAACCGTTGATTTCCACACAGCGCAGACCCACAAATCTAAAGTAGGATTCAAAAACAAGTCAGGATTTACTCATTCAAGTAGGACAAAGGTTTACTTTTGACCCTGTTTATCCCTTATGACTGTGAAGGCAGTTCGAAGTGTGGTTGACTTGTGACTCAGTTGGGGACCTTGGCAAAATTGAGGGACCTTTGTGAGAGCCTTCATGGGCAAAACGAAAGTAGTTAAGCCAAAAGACTTCAACATTATCTCGTTCATACCTGCACATTCGCATGAACAGGGTGGAGAAGGTAATCTTCTTGTGGTACAGGCCTTTAAGTACACCGAGCGGCGTATCATCAATGATGTCATTTAGGTCCATCTCGTCACAGTTCTGGGCTGTAATCCAACGACAGATGAGTCGGACTTTCTCGAGCTCAGTCCCACCGATACTGACCAGCTCATTGACCAATGCTGAGAAGGTCGGTTGGGTAACGAGACTCACTGTCTGCGCAAGCTACAATTGAGAACATCGTTGACATAATGAGTCTCTTCATACCCCAACCACAAACCTAAAATTTCTCAATTACAGTAACTCCCAGCAATGGCAGACTGCAAGAAACCTCCACGAAATGACTAGTGATGGGATTGTACAACTGGGAGATGGAAATATTTCTGTTTGCTTTGACCCTCATAAATATCATTTACAAATACTGTTCTTTAAGAGCTATCCACAAGCTAGTATCAAAAACTTCCCAAGATTACTCAAATCAAAATCAGTGAATAGAAAATCTGTTCTGTTGTTGCTCCACTTACCTTGATTGCATGGGCGTCTAACCTCCTGAAGATGTCTGGGTTCGTGTAAAGCTCCCTCTTTTTCTTAACTGGATACTCCTCCTTCAGAGGGACAACAACGAGGGAGGTGGACTGAGTTGGCGTGGTCCACAGCTGGGTCACCTCGGTGGGAACAGCGATGGCATCAGTGTCATTTCCTCCAAATTCATCCGCCTGGACAAAACAATTACAATGACCTCCTAGATCAGTTAAGCAGGTGCTTTTGAATTCAGAGAGAGGAAATAAAATGTGCTGTGCTAGGTTCTGGCTTAAGGTTAATGTTAGTTTAATCATTATCGTATTTGGAAGACAATGACATTTCATTGAAGTACCTCTTCATCTGAATTGTACAATTCTTCCTGGGTCTCAGCGCGCTGGGTTGCCACAACTGCTTCTCCTGTCGCCTTCTGGCCTCGTGCCATTCTTTTGGCCTCCAGAACCTCCAAACAAAACAAGAATGGACAAAAGGATGGTGCTGAATGACTCTGGAGATTTGATTATGTAACAGATCAATTCACCTGTGAAAGACCCGTAAATGGATACTTCACATATTTCACTTTACATGATTACATTCAGTTTAAACTGGTTTTGCACATTCAGCTGAAAATAGATCGTGCACATTCAGATGAGAACAGTTTGTTCCTATTCAGCTGAAAATTGGTTGTGCACATTCAGCTGAAAACTGGACCATTTGCACGTGCTCACCAGTGTGTACTCATGCAGGATCATTTATGGGTTCTTGTGAGTGGACCACACAGCACTATTATTGAGTTCTTACATGAAGTCTGAGGTCTTAAAGTATACTATTTAAGATGGCTGCACAGCTTGACATTCAAACAAAAATCACCTGTCGCATGCGTTCTCTTTCTTTGTCCAATTTACTCTGAAGTATCCACATGTTCTTATCGTGCTCCTCAATCATTCTTTTGTACTCCGACTCTGACACCTTGCCCTTGCGATCCTGAATGTTGGACCGAATGTCGTTGTCATAGCGTGAAATATCCTGCTGCAGATTACTGAGGTCTTCTTCCGTGTTGCAAGCATCACTATCCTCCTGGAGAACAAAACCATAAATTCCAAATTGTCATCAAAATGCTGAAAGTTCAAATTGGCAAAGGAAAGATTTCTTGTCCTGTAAAGACAGGTTTGCAGGCAAAATGCCAGGCGTGTTCGCACCAGTCTATTGGCAAAGCAAAGATTTCTTGTCCTGTAAAGACAGGTTTGCAGGCAAAATGCCAGGCGTGTTCGCACCAGTCTATTGGCAAAGCAAAGATTTCTTGTCCTGTAAAGACAGGTTTGCAGGCAAAATGCCAGGTGTGTTCGCACCAGTCTATCGGCAAAGGAAACATTTCTTGTCCTGTAAAGACAGGTTTGCAGGCAAAATGCCAGGCGTGTTCGCACCAGTCTATTGGCAAAGGAAAGATTTCTTGTCCTGTAAAGACAGGTTTGCAGGCAAAATGCCAGGCGTGTTCGCACCAGTCTTGCCATGAGTCTCATCCGTTCTTCTTCCTCGGCCTTCCACTGTGCCTTTCGCCGCTGCCTTGCCGACAGCTTGTCAGAGAAATTCCTCTTCTGTCTCTCCACAGCCATGGCTAATCTTCCCTTCAGCCGCTCCATGTCGCGCTCATGCTGGGCCAGGAGTCGCTGGTACTCCGCTTCAGACATCTCAGACTTCTTCTTGGTGACCTCATTGGCAAAGGTTGACTCCTTCTGAAGGATCTCCTGCTCTAATTTCAGAATCTCCTGGGAATTCAGAGACAGAAAGTGTCTATGATGAGAGGATTTGAAAGTTCAGGAGCTCAGGGAACAATTTCAGGAGGCATGAAACTTAACGGCAGATGTCTCTGGGCTACGTGCACTCAAAAAGCTTGAAACACTACATATTCAACCGAGAACACATTCCGTATTCCTGTAAGAAATGTTCTAAATGGAACCAACATTTCTAATCCTACCTCAGATTTGGCTGCATTTGGCTCCTTGGCTGTGAGTGGTCTGAACCTTCTTGCTCCTAGCTTCTCTTGTAATTTCCCCTCCATCCTTTTTCTCTCGGCAGCCAGCATTGCAGCAAGCTCCTCCTGTTCCTTCTTGTGTTGTTCCATCAGACGCTGGTACTCCTCGCCAGACATCTTGGTCTTCTTGGCCTTCATGTCCTCCTTGAATTTGGTGTCATTGAGGTCTAGCGCCAGTTGGAGCTGCTTGATCTCTTCGGCGGTGAGTGGAGAGGCTTCTTCATCCGGTTCTCCCTTACCGCTTCTTCTCCTGGCCTCCAGTTTGTCTATCAGCACCCGTCTCATCCGTTCCTTCTCCGCATCCAGCTGCTCCTGCAGGGCATCCATCTCACGTCTGTGCTCATCGATGAGCCGCTGGGTCTCATCAGGAGACAAAGTGCCCTTGGCATCCTTCAACTGTTTTTTGAAGTCCATGGCCTTCTGGTTTAGGGCCAGCTGTAGGTCCTTGACCTCGTCAGCTGACAATGGCTCACTGACCTGTGAGGGAGGAATCGAATGAAGTCATGTTTGAAAGTAAGCTTCAAGGGCTACAACTGTCTATTATCAGCACGTAGTCACATTTACAATTAATAAAAAGGGCAAGGATAATCTGGTCATCCTCGAGAGAGACGCTGGACTGGAGTGGAATGCTGACTTTTAAGATGCTACCAGAGGATTGGCTAGCTCTAGCCAGTAGAGTCGGACATGGCCCATTCGTCTTCTTACCAGTGATTCTGCCCAATCTATTTACCCTGCGATGAGGGGTAGGTATGCCTGCTGATGAATTGTACCCTAATTCCATTCCGAAGACAAATAAGCAATGTTAAGCATCCGTGATCCATGACAATACATGTACTAACCTCCGCATTTCCCCTCCTGTCCCTAAGCGCTTTCCTGGCGGCGAGCTTATCCAGCAGCGACTGCCGCTGTCTCTCTCGCTGCAGGTCTAGCCGGTGCTGCAGCTTGTTCAGCTCCTCTCGGTGTTCAGCGATCAGTTTCTTGTACTCCTCTGGCGACAGCTGCGATTTCTTGTCCTGCAGCATGGCCTCCAGCTGGATCTGACGCCGTTTCAAGTCTGCTTCAAGCTGCTGGATCTCCTCAGGTGACATTTCTGGCTAAATATATTCATGAATGCGCCAAATCAGAAACTAAAACAACAGGCAAACATTTATTTATTTTTACCTCACAGGTCCGGGGTAAATTCCCTTGGTAAACTTGGCTTTATGAATTCACACCGTTCCAATAGCCTTTGTACAGTTTGTACCACAAAACACCACACTGCAAATAATTCACGGTACCCGCTGCTTCATCTGACTAGGACCGGCCAGCCAACCCCGGCAAGCTCGGTGGTCGAGTGGTTAAGACATCTGCACTAGTAAGTAGGAGGTTGTGGGTTCGATTCCCACCCGAGTAAGCTTGTGAATTTTTTCGCAAGCTCTCGGACAAGCACTGAGCATACAGTGTTTATCAATATATACAATGGGTAAGGGCAAAACCCGTTATTTAAACACCACACGCTTTTATTTTTGTCTATCACATTCCAGTGTTGTATTTGCATCCATCACAAGTTCTTTTACAACTCCCTTCACAAGGCCATTCACAAGTCTTTTCATAAGGCCAGCCATAAGTAACAGGGTAAGAATACTTTTGTCACAGCTCATTTGAACAGCTGTGAGCTGGCTTAAGACTGGATGAATTGTAATTTCAGGGACTTGAGGGGACTTGTGATAGACTTGAATACAACACTGGAATATTCACAATGTAACCACAACATGAACACTATACCTTGGTCATACATGTGCCTTGGCACACAGGACTAACAAACCTATTTGCCTGAACATCCCAGTAGCCAACTGTCACGCCTACCTCTTCATACTGCCCGCCTCCTAGATTCTTCCTCCGCCTCCGTTCTTCAAGTTTATCGGCCAGGGATTGTTTCTGTCTGTCCGTCTCCCTCTCTAATTTCTGTTTCAGTTTCTCCATCTCGGCCTTATGCTGAGCGACCAATCGCTGGTACTCAGCCTCTGGTAGTCGCTCTCTCTTCACTTTCATCTCTTGTTCAAATGCTGCATTTCTTTGCTGGATCTCTTTTTCAATTTGCTGTGCACTTTTCTCGACATCGTCAGTTGCCCCATTGATGAATGTGGTAGCATTAACCTAAATTTTAAATATCAGATATTAGTAAAAACAGATTTCTCAACATTTCAGATTAATGAAAAGAAGAAAATTTGCATTTAAGTAAAGTCTTGTCTTGAAGCCTCACCTGATGACTTGCTTCTACTTCTTCTTTGCCTTCGTCGATTGTCTGAAAGTCAAATTAAAACCATTATTTTATCACGAGATGCCATTCCATTCCATTTATTAAAGAGGGTCCATCACAAACTTCTGTGGTTAGATATCAATTGATACACAAATACCGACCTTTTCTTTAGAAAGTTTCTCTAATTCTTTTTTCTCGTCCAGCCGTGCTTTGCGCCGCTGCTGGCGCTGAGCCACTTTGGAGGCCAGCGTGTACTTCTGTCGCTCGCGTTCCTTCTCACGCAGCATCGCCATAAGCTCCACCTCCTGTTTGTGATTGGCTATCATCTGTTCATACTCCTGCTGCGAGAGGTGGGTGCGTTTCTCCTGCAGTGCTTGCTTCAGACGAGCCTGTGAAGGAACAAAAATAGATCCAAACAAGTATGTAATTGTGAATATGTTGTTTTTGTCCATGAGCAAGCCATTTTATTACAATTTTCTAAATTTCGAATCTGATAATGGCCAGAACCTCAATATCCTTGCTTTTGCACATAATACAGACACAACGAAGGACAAATCTCTAGTTTTATATATTCTGTGATTGGCTCTGTATAGCGTAAAAAATACAATGTCTGTGACAGAGTCGATAATTTCAGCCGACGTTCCTCTTAAGTTGACATGTTTCTTGTCGTAGGCAGGACTGACGAGTGATTATCGCATTACAAGCAGGTTACCTTGCGCTCTTTAGCGCCCTCGCTGGAGGTCGGCTGGTTCTCTTTTGCATCCAAGTCTTCAATCACTTCTTCCCAGTCCTCGTCATCACTGTATTGGTTGTTTGAAAAACTGGTGTCCTGCAGATTCAAAGCATCAAGCTACCTAGGTTACCGGCTTTGGGATTTGACCAATGACATTTATAAGTATATGATCGACATAAGAACTGGCGAGACCACAACTACAGGGTACAAAAAGACCAATTTTGATTATCAATTTCACTAAAACAAATTTGCAGGCATTTGGGGGAATTTTTACTTGGTTTTTAAAAGTAACAAGACTATTTCAATTCTCCAGGAGGCTTCGTTTTTCACCTGGCTGAGTTGTATTTGAAACGACTGGCCGAGGTGTTCATTGCTGTTAGCTTCGTCATCCTCTGCGATCATCTCAATGTTAGTGACTGTCATCTGTGCGGCATTTGACAGGTGAGAGGCAAAGTCACTGTCCCCTTGGGTGACATCAAAGGTCTGTCAAAAAATAAACAATGATGGGAGCTTCCAATCAACATTTAGTTAGGTACATGTATGAGGTCATTTCATGAAATACTGAATTACGTACACACAAAATGCACCAGAATTTTCTAGATGTTCCATATGAAAGAAAGAAAGGACAATTTTTGTGATAAATCTGTTGAAAAATGTCCATTGGAATCAACTTACCCCTAGGCTCTGGCTGCCCATCTGCAAGCTGAATTTGTTGGATGCTACCTGCTTAACTGTGGCTGGTCCTGGCAGCTGACCACTGACCCCTTCATTGTTCTTGAGATTGACCTGCCCTTTGACCTTGACAGGCTTGGATTGACCTGGTACCACTACCTCTGCAGCCACCATCACCTTGCCCTTTCCTCCGCTCTTGGATGTTCCTGATCCCATGGCTAACACTGCAATCTGTCACAAATGTTGACGTTGATTGCAAATTATTTACAGAATTTGTATCCACTGGGTCTGGTACATTGTTATAACTTGTGGACTCTCCAACTCTGCAAATTAGTACAATACCTGGGCCTAAAACACTGAATTCAAATGAAATGTACTAGGCCCTAGCCTCAGCACAGTCTGAGTAACTTGGACCCTACAAATCACCTTTTTTAACATTTGCATATGGTCAGGCGATAGTAGGGTCCAAGTACCTTCCATAGGCTTCTGCTTTCATTAATTCATTTCACTCAAAATGGCTCATACCTCGAGTCAAAATCCTCCGAATTCACCTCTAAAATTGTCCTTAAATTGTCTAATGCGCCTATCTATGGGTAAGTGAGAATTGGAGATTCCAATAATGATAATATGGTTTACTCACATATGGGAAGAAAAGAGAAATTTCCCCTTCAAATCAGAAACGCACTTGTCAACGAGCTGGAAGACGCCACCTTCCTTCAAATGGTGATTTTAACTATATGTTAATGTCCTATTGACGACGTCACAGCAAGCCGGCCATGTGGAAAATTCACAAAAAGCATGCTGTGTTGGCACACGTGCACCAACGATTGTTTCCTGAGCAGTGGAAGTTTGGTGGCTGTGACCATATGGGTGCATTCCACTTAATCCACAACATAAACGGGTGCATTAGACATTTTAAGCCAGTTTGGACATGTTGGAGGTAAATTCGGAGAATTTTGACTTGGGGTACAAGCCGTTTTGAGTGAAATGAATTAATGGAAGCAGAAGTGATGTACTTGGACCCTACTAAAACTCCCAACCATGTCCAAACGTTTGAAAAGGCGACAAGGTCAGCCATGCCACTTGTCAGTAATGATCATGCATGTCATGACGTTTCACAATCAGAAACACTGCGCTTAGCCTACATTTGAAAGTCTCACCGTTTCATTTACTGTCTGAAAGGCAGATCTGGTAGAAACAATTTGGGTGTGGCAACCCTCTTGATTTATTCGACAAACTACAAGGGCTTAGGCCTACTTAATAATCAACGTTACATTTTTTCAGCATCATTTATGATGATTTAGGCCTTTCATTACTCATTAGATCAACTGCCGTCATCAGCGTTGATGAAGGTGCCCATAGCAATTGCACATACATTCAGGCACCCTTCTAAAACTAGCTGAATTTTAATACTATGAACACTGGGAACCAGTTGGTACGGGCACGTTTCTTACAACGGCTCTTTGATGTATCACTAAAACTCCCCCTTTCCAAGTTTTTGTCATTAATAAAGTCACTCTTAGAGGAAATTTTCCCAAATACTTTTGTCAGAAAATTGAAGTAAATTTTTATTTTCTAAGAAGAAACTCCCATGTCTTTTTAAAATGTCTTGAAATAAGCGATGGCCCGTCGCCGGGGGGAGGGGGCGCCGCCCCCGGCAGGAAGCCTCCCTCCGTCAGTAAAAAGCATAAGCATGAAAATTTATATTTTGTTCTTGTGGATGTGACCCTCCTAGCTTAAACCGTGGCCCCCCCCTAGGTGATACTGTGACCCCCTTAATGTCTGAAGCTGGCGACGGGCCTGAATCAACGTGAACTTTTTGTCTGCAAGTTGCTGTGCCGTAGTGACTTCCTGCTTCCTGCGAGTCGTAGTGGGCGGGGCCATGACCTGCAGTAGGTTGTATCGCTGGGCGGGGAAAAATTTGAATGGGCGTGGTCTGTACAATAGTGGATCTGAGGGCTAATGGGACCGTGCTGGTCCCGCGTTCACCCCTGCAAAAGTATATTTTTATTTGTTTGGTTGGTTGGTTGGAGTTTTGAAAAAAAAATTAAAAGAGGAAGAAGTTTGGGGGGATTATATCACTGCCCTTCCTTGCTAAAATGCATATAAAAGCCTTTCTTACGATGTCCCCCCCCCCACAACAAAATTTTGCTCCCTTGCTCACCAGATCCCCGCCCCCTCGTACTAGTCTGCCGCCTGGGTTCAATTCCGCCTCACGGCGACGCGTCGGTCACGGTCACGGTGATCATACTAGAGAAAGGACACGGAGGCGGGACCGGTTTGAAACTCCCAGGGCATGACGAGGGACTCACAGCCTGCCTAGCGAGGGGAGCCACCAGATGATCACGCCCACTGTTTTTTCATAATTCGTGCCCATCAAATCATACCATTTAGACATTATCTTTTTAAATCAGAGCTTGTGGTAATACGAACCTCAAATTGCTGAATTTTTTAATACCTTCGTTAGCGAGAGCGTCAACTCCGAGCATCAGTTGATCAGGACTGCATAAAACAGCCGTATACAGTAGTTAATTAATTATTATGCGATGACATCATTTTTACTAATTCGGTTCTTGCAATAAACTAGACTTCATGTAGGCTCAGGCCTGCTCATAAAATAAAATTTCCGAATATTTTTATGTAATTTTTATTTAACTATCTTTATTTTTAATACTCAGATTTGACGTCTGATTTTAAATTAAAGCCTGTTACAGTTATTTTGGCAATCACTTGCCTGTACGAGCTTAAACATGGCATTCACCTTCCGTGACAAAATGAACTAGACATGGCAAGACGGTAGAGGTAACTCAGAGGTAATTAATTTTCTCCTTCAGGTAAATTTTAGTACTCAGCATGTAACCGATTTGATGTATTTAAACATTTTTCTGTCAGGTTTGGAATTTTCTATCGGGGAAAGGACGTCCATTAGACATTTAAACATGTTTCTTTCAGTTTTGGAATTGTCTTTCGCCAAATTTCGGTACCCCAACTGTGGGGTCCTACGTCCGCTGCGCTCCCACGAACATGACGAACGGTGGGAGCGGGGGCGGAACGTGGGAGCGGGGCGGACGTCGGACCCCACAGTTCTGGGGGTACCGTTTCGGGGAAGGGAAGTCCATAAGTTGGGCCTAGTGATATTTATTGCAATTTATAGCTTTCAGGAAGAAGTTGCAATTGAGAAGTTTCATATTTAGCAATAGCCTAGGCCTTAAAATGGATAGTGTAAACATGGTAAATCATGGGACATAAGTAACAGAAAGAATTCCTCGGGTGTCAGGGCATCGGACATTCAGTGACATTGAACTTTCAACTTTAGGCCTAACATTAGTCATTAGTTTTCATTATGCAGACATCATAAACGTGGCAAAGTTGGGTTAAAAACATTTAAAAGACAAACATCGTATTGGGGCGGCATGCACATCCAGGACAGGAGTTTCACAAAATGGCAGGTAGCAACCACACCAACTGCAACGAATGCGCCCATACATACTGATCAATAAAATGATTGTGTAATCTGATCCCCTGACTCGCTGGTGCATGCGTACATTGTCATAGTCGCTGTTTTCATCGGTTAATACCGATCGTAATCACGTATATTGACCAATTGCACCCAACACACTCATGTTCATAACTGAAGTGAAAGCTGCAGAAAGAGTTCCAGTTCCATACACAGACATCTCTTGACACTCTGTTCACAAATCCTATGAGACTGGTTTGCAAGAGCTAAGTAGGCCTATTTTTCCGCTTCGATATGTTTCCTCCAAAATTTGACTTTTTTTGCTTTCTGATGGCTGATAATTCTTGAACATGTTTAACTGAGAAATTTTTATAATCCACTCGTTTTTACCAGGTTTTAACTTAACTATAACTGTTTTTGTTTTGTTGCTAGGCACTGATCTGAGAAGAATGAATTGATGTAGCTGTCCCATTGGCACAATGTTGGAAGGCCTTGCTGCATGGGTGTTAAACACCTACGTTGGAGAATATGTTGAAAATCTTAACACGGATCAGCTATCCATCGGATTACTCAGTGGTAAGTGCCATGTCCACCTTGAGCAGAAGCGTTTCCTCATCACTTGAAAGAGACATTTTGGTCAGGAGTGTTCATTTTGCTAGTAGCGCGCGATGCGACCATAATGTGTGCATTTCCTAGTTGGTCACGGACCAGCAAAGTTCATTTCGACCAAAAGCAACCTCTGTCGCTAAGAACACTGTGCCCTCTCTCGGTCCATCTTGAGGCTCATAGTTTGATGGAGTTTCAGGCTCTGTGTGTTTACCTAGCAGTGATTTTCATTGCCTTGGGCATGTGCACGCGGAGTACGCACAAGCATTTTCAAAACAATCTGTCAGGTCTTTATGAGGCAGCCACATATGCAGCACCAGTTTGTTCTGATGTTGTCCCAATGTCTCCATTTCTCACACTAGAGAGTAGGGTTAATTGTGCATAGTGTGAAATGCTTTGAGAGTTCATCAGTACCGACATGCTTATAATAGGTTATAATAGTAGGATAAATGTGGAAAATTTCCACCTGAGAAGAGAATTCAGAGGGCCATTACCTTGAGTAGTTCCAGTTCTAACACTCATGACATCGGGAAATAGTTTGAATGTGACTTTGTATTCCCTTTGTGCGTTTTGTATTTGGGGAGAGATTGAAGTAATAATAACAGCGAATCCTCAAGGCCTCCTTGTGAAGTCAATCCTCCAGATGTTGGATTTGTAATGTAAAGTACAATATTTTCTTGATGACAGGTGCAGTAGAGCTAGAGAATCTACCTCTGAGGAAAGATGCCTTGAAGAATCTGGATCTTCCCATTGAGGTCAAAGCAGGTAATTGGAAGAAAATATGAGAGTCCTTGAAGTTGGCAAAAAGCTGGCTTTCTTTTTTTTCCCTCCTAGAACATCACAACCAAGTAAATGTACTTTTCCTTTTCAAGATTGTTTACATTGGTTTTCTACGGTGTAATTCTTACAAAAAATTGCATCAAATTGTCCTGGGGGTTTGGTTATATTTAGGGGAAAAAAGATAGTTTCACGTGACTCACCTGATATGAAGTTGAAAGAAAGATGTACAGCCTACCTTATTTTATATGTGATTCACATTTCTGAATGACCCTGGTTTGGGCTGAGGAGGCTGAAGGCTTGGTCCATTATCATGATTTATTGGTATGCACTATGCTGGCCCATTATCTTGATTGGAATGAGGTCAGTTTGCTCTGTTATCCTTTTCATTATTGAGACTTTCTGCCCAGTTGAAGCCAAGCTGTGAGTTACCTAAAATGCGGCACCACCAATGCTAGCATATTCTTGCTTGTGTTGAAAGTAATTCCTTGTCTGTTTCTGTCCGTGTGTGTCCAGGTTTCATTGGGAAAATCTCCCTGCAGATCCCTGTACGTCACATTAAGAGCGAGCCCTGCGTCATCTCAATCGATAGCCTATACTTGGTGGCTGGACCTGCTGGCAAGGCATCTTATGATGAGGAGCGGGAAAACCAGGCTAAGAAAGACAGGAACAGAAAGCAACTTGAGGCATTGGAATCACAGTGGAAGGTGAGTTCACGAGAACTGCAAACAAGTTTGAAATTTTTTGCTGTGGCCATGTCCGAAGCAGGTGTCTAGAACTATGGCCAGGTCTATTGTCGGTGTGTCCCTGTGTACTGTACTATTTTCAGTTTTGACACTAAAGGAGATTTGCTCTGTTGGAGCAACTTGTCTCGATCACGTTTCATTTTTTTGGCAATATTCAACTTCTCTGAGATTTCCTGTCCTTGTCCTTTTTCCCCCAGGCCAAGTTTGAGAAATCCCAGCCCGAGGCCGGATCATCCTGGTACGCCTACTCCACGTCACTCTTCTACAATGTCCTTGAAAACATTCAGGTAAACTCCTCATTGACCTTTTGCAGTCAACAGATCAATAGCATCCCAAGCTATCAGTTTGAATGCAATGTGACCATGGAAACATTTCATGTATAGTAGCCACAAATCTGATTTGTATGAAAATTGGTCTCCAAATATTTGAGCAGTCCTGAGTATTGTTCTACCCTATTCTCAAATCCTTCAACCCCCAGCAGATGATCTTTAAATTCATTCTTTATATTTCGTCCCCCAATTTGGCTCAAGCGAGAAGAATGTATTATAAAGTTACCACACATTGGATTCTACAGGAACCAGGAAAGTTTAACCCGGCCCTCCTGGGTGATTGGTCTAAAAACCCTGCCAGACATAGTATTTTGCAACATTTGGCAAAGTGGCTTGCCTGCCCAGTGTAACAAGATCCAACAGATCAACTATCTCCAAGGTCAAATGGCCTTGAATTTTTGTATTTGGCTGCTGTTGATATCCCAGTGCAGCAATGTGTACCAGACTTTGACACCTGCTCTAAAC